CTAATGGGCAACATCAACATTTGCCCACACCCACACACACCCTTCAAATACTTTATTTCTAAATCGGTAGTTTTTTATATCATTTGATGCTCATGTATTACATTTCTTTTAAATTTAAAAAACACATTATTTTTCATGTTACGTTAAACTGAAGCTTTCTCTATTTTACACTTCTCTGTTTTACCCTTCACAATTCGCTCAAAAACTTTTCGCTCAAAATTTTTCGCTAAAACGTTTTTCGCTGATTTACCACCATACCAACGGCGCAGAGGAAGACAAAAGAAAAGGTGGATTGACACGATAAAAGAAGACACACATTTAACATTAACTCAACTCAACACAATGGTACATAACAGAAACATGTGGAGATGTCTGATTCATCGGATCGCCAAGAGTCGGACTCGAGTAAATGGATAAAACACACACACTATAACAAATAAAAAACAGATTGACTTATCGATATTGAAAAAGAATAAAATCAATCTGCTGTTCTTAGCTCTTGCTTTTCAGCAACCGCTTGTTCTGTCAAATTTGAATGAATTCGTTTTTTTTAAATTAAAATTTTTTAATATTGTGCTTCGAATAAAAAAATCATAAAAGAAATGCAGAGTTGAATTTGCCGACGCGTTTCGTGTTATTTATTAAAAGGGTGTGGGTGTGGGGTGTGTGTGGCTTTGGGTATTTAGATGAAGAGTCGCACCTAAACTCTCTGCCCAAACACCCACACCCACCTCCACAAACTGTTACTGGTCTGAACATCCTGGTTCAGCGATCCATATACTACAATCAGTAGTTAATCAGGTCAGCCTTTTTACGGATAAGTAGATAAAAAAAGATGTGAGTCTGAATCTAGAATGGGCGAGATGCGTTGATATAGATATTAGCCGTCCTTTTGACTACAATTTTGCATACCAACGCCAGCATTACTAAGAACACTGACAGACACACCTATGTAACTAAATGTACAAACATCGGTATTCATGGAATAGAGCTTCATCCTAGGATGTGGGTGTGGGTATGATCCTTCGCTTCATCCACACCCACGAAACACTGAATCGAGAAGGATATTAAAGGGAAAATATTCAATTGATTTAACTGATCCATTAATGAAAACAAAAATTTGGATGAAAAGTGAAGTTCTTCATTTTGTACCAACATTTGGAAATATAAATACATACTCCGATTATTTAAAACTCTATCTTGTAAATGTTACTACTACATTTAAAGATAGAAATAAAATTAGCAATAATTTTCACGAATATGATGATAAAGTCTATAAAAAAAATACGTGGTAGCATTTAAAAATTTGACTTTTATTTAGAATCATTAAAAGATTTTGCAAATTTAAATGAACGTATTGAAAATGCTCTCAAATAAGAAAATAATTTTTTTGTAAAAATTGCTTAAGGCAAATCGATGCCTAATCATTACTTCCTTTGATAAGTACAATTAGAGCGTCTACGTTCTTCTCCTATACGTCAACTGCATGGCATATTTTTTGCTGTTTCTTTATACTGCTATTATTACGTGTAAAACAACCACTTCATTTTTTTTGTATTTCTTGCAAATTATTTTGTCCAAGCTAGGCTTTTTTTATCGATGCGGATTATGCAAGGCTTGCCAGTCGGAATTTTATGGCTTTTCCAAAGCCTTCAACATCTTATCTGATCCGTAGCAATCAGCTTCTACAGTAGCAAACTTTTCAATCACGTTAATTCATCTTTCTGTGTTTTTGCTGTATATGTTCTCGAATCCCTATTGATCATAAATCCAGTGTCTTTATCTTCATCTCTTTTTGACGCCTATAAAATAGATTTGGATGCCGCATTACATAGTTAGATATCTGTTCGTGATTTATGAAATACTACATCGAATAATAGAGGATTTGAAACAAAAATGCTACTTCTTTCCGTCGTTGTGTCCCTTCATCCTATGGTTCTAGGTTTTTGCAATATTTTGTATCACCTAGTTTTACAGCTCCATCTTTCTTCATGACATCAATCAATAGTTTGTGCGTAGGGTAGGTGTGGATGCAGACAGAAAAGTAACTCATAACGACGCGGACACTCATATACATGAAAATAGAAAATTCTTCATAATTTCTACAACGTTATGGCACATTATTAATATAATGCATAAAGAGAAACACAAATTTAAAATGTAAAGTTGTTGTTTAATAATTTAAAATTCTAAGTAAGCATGATGTCTCTCGTGCAAATGATAAATGATAAATCTTTTATTATTATTTTTGTGATTGTAACATAGTAAAGCTAAATTGCTTTTTTAAACTACACTGGTAAAATTTCATTCGTCTTCTATGCAGTAAGTTCGTGAACGCCAGGGCTCGAAAGGAGCCACTGTTGTGATAAATCAGCCCAGCCTAAAATTTCAACGGATCAGATTGAAAACTGTAGTTCATCTCATGTAGATTTTTTTATTCAGCCAAAATATCAGTGAAATATCTCTCGTCGTTTATGAAAGGTTGATTAACTGCAATAAATAAAAAACAAGAATTCGAGATTTTTTCGACTAATAGAAGTCCAGCTCATATAGATTCGAAAGAATACTTAAAAATAATGTATCAGTTATTTAGCAGTTTAGATACGTCAAAATAATACAGAATTGATGTTCTTGTTAAAACTGTTAGTAATTATCCAAGCTCTTATAGGATAACGATGGAGAAAAATCGAGTTTATCCTTCTAGAATACTATTTAAAATAAGCAAAAGCTTGAAAATTTTCATGCGAATCTTTACTTGTAAGATAAGTGGTATAATAATATTATCTGCAAATAATTTAATTATAACCCCAACACACTCACGTCGACAAAATCCGAGTGAAAAGCATCGTTGAATGCTAGTAATAAGTCATTTTCCATACTCCTCTGATAAAATAGTTAAGGGAATCGTTTCTGAACAAGTCATACAAGAAGTAAACAACTGTTTATGTATCGTTTTGAACTTAACCAAATTAAAATTTGTACACAATAGAGAACGACGCAGAAATAATCTCAATAATGTCTGGAATTTATTTACAATGTGTAATAGAAAACAGAAAAATTCAATTTATTGAAACCATCTCGAAGATCTTGGCGAAAAGTTACATGATCCGAAGTAACATTCGTTAAAAGTTTTCGAGGTTGAGTTGAACTTCTCATTTCACCTGTCCAAGGTGCAATCCAAATTAATCTCTCTCGATTGTCGGGTGTGGCATTTTCAAGAATTTCTTTCCATAAAGTTTTACTATCATATCTAGGTCGATCGACAACGGCAAGAGGATATTGAGTAGAGAGTATTCTTGTATTATTTTCAATAGCATCTATACCACAAATATGGATTATTGAAATGTTGAAGCCTTCGCCAAATCGATCGTAGCATTCCTGTAAAATAGCTTGTGAAAGTTTGTCCGGTGAGCAATAACTTCGATTAACCATCCAACGTGTGCCTTCCGTAGCAAGTAACAGTAAAGCTTATCTATGTCCATCAGGTAAATGTTTTCCTGCTAGTTTTTTTCCGTAACCAACTGCTAGACGATGGACACAAATAGTCGCCAAGGATTTCGAAGTTGTGGGATGGGCTCTCGAGAGCGTTGACAGCAAAATTAATGACCGCAAGATGATTCAAATGAATTGGACAAAAGCTGCCACCATAGACAAGAATCGCCTGTTTTTTCTTGCTGTTTACATCTGAGGAATGATTGATCTTGTCGAAAGGTAGCTTTCTTCCACAAGGAAATCTAACTAAGGGTGATGTCCAGGCACGGCACCACAATAGGTCAACAATTGCCTGAGGCATTCAAAAGTCTCTGCTCGTCAGCGAGAGTGCTCAATGTCGTCAACACATCTGAGAAGTCTGATGAGATTATACAAGTTGAAAGGCATCTCATATCCATCAATAGAACCTCCAATAGCTTCAAAGTATGATTAAATGAATGTATGAGGCATTGGATATATGTCAACTTCGTATGGACCATCAAACATGGCCAAGTTATCGTTTTCGTCGATAGACCAATTTCTGCCATTAAAATCACCATGAAGAAGACACAGTTGAATTTGAGCTTGAGCTGTGTTGAGGAACCATGGTACGTATGGAATGAGTCGATCGCAAAGTAGAATCAACTCCATATTTTTGTCATAATGGTTAATAAGATCAGTGTCACATTTCATTCTCAGTAAAACTGTTTTTAAACGTTTTTCGAGATAAAAACTACACCAGTCACTATTCCAAGCGTTGTCTTGTTCGGTATGTACAAAAAAATTGTTAACATGAAATCCAAATAGACCACCATGAGGAGATAATCTATGTTTCTCTGCTGATATCTGATGCATTTTGACAATTGCTTGTGTAAATCTGCGATATTGTTCGCTTTTTTTTTCTTCTTGCTTCTTGCCATTGTTACATATTCAGCAAGAAACCAACTTCCTTGATTGTCATTGCCGACTGTAGACATATTTCCGGTGCCGATCGGTTGAGGTATACGACTAAACAGTGTGCATACTTCGAGCATTGCGTGAGAGCCAATAATCTCAGCATCAAACATCTGTTGAGCATGTTTTCTTATATTAATTTTGACAAAAAATGAGTCAGGACTCGTATCATTGTTGTTCTGTGAGTTTATTTTGACCATAAATGAATGACTCATATAACCACCATCTATGGATTTAACTGTAAATTCATTGTGATCACTGCATGGAATGCTTGGTTTTGACAAAGAAAGAATTTGAGTTCGAAGTGAAGAAGATTTTTTCAGCATGAATTGTTGTAGATCAAGAGCACTTCAAATTATCGATATGCCTTAAAAAAGTTTGCATATAGTAGAGGAAGTCAACAAGCCTGAATTGTGCATTTGTTTTTCTCGATTCTATCTGAGAACCGTTTGACGAAGCGAATTTAGCTATGATGAAAAAACCCCTTCTATAAACTTTACAGACTCCTTTAAAATTCTCTCTCATCATGTGGTTCAATAAAAATTATTGCAACAGGACGAAATTTATGTATAGATATTATCTACAGCTTGCTTCTGACTTCTAATGAAATAAAAGTAGCAACAATCTCATACGTTTTTCTTTCTTACTTTGGACAGTACATTCTTCACTCAGATACTTTGTTAGTGGATCGTGTGTATTCTCTACTTGATCTTCGATGCCAGCTTCAAGATGATAACACTCATCAACACAAAACTTGCTCTGTTCACTTGCCTCACTGAAACCACGAGCTATCAACGATGAGGCAGATAAACTGCAGAAAAATGAAAATAAAAGTACGATTTGCGACAGGCAACGTTTCGCTCATTTACTAAAAGTTTGAAGTTATTCGCCATTGAAATTTATGCTTTGCGTTTTGAATACGACATTACAGATCAAGCCACTGAAGTTCGAAATTGTGCAATAACTAACATTATATTACCACGATTACGCTCTTGTCAAACTATGAATTGCAACACCATTTTTCTCTTTCGTCGCATAACATTACTCATTCAGTGGCATAATAAGTAGATTCCCAACTTTCTAACCTAGCAGGGGAAGCGAATCAAATTTCAACAATTTCTTTTCTTCAAATCAATCTGATTGACTTGTTCCCAAAGTTGTTGGTAGGTCGAGGGTGTGGGTGGGTATAAGTGTTATCTGTCTGCTCCCACACCCTTTTTTCTAGTAGATACTGAGCTTTTAACACATAGTAATTGTGCATGAGATATTCATTAAGTTAAATGCCATCCTTATGCACAATTAGCCGAAAAGATATGCTACAAATGCCATTCTTTGTTTTGATAAGCATGCTGTAAGAAATTCTTGATCGAAATGAAAAAGACATGAAATTGCATTACTTTTTCAGCATAAAAACGATAAAAGCACGTTTTATTGGCATCCTTTCTGTTGCACTGCCTCTTCACGAATGCATTATTTATTTACTGATCGATTGATTCTACCTCAACTTTGTTTCTTTTATGTTTGTTCTTTTTACGCACGCTCTTGCCTTGAATTGTACGATAGACATCACATAGACAGTTTTTTCTCTAAACTCATTACTGATTGTGAGTATGTTATTTTTCGTGTTTTAAAGGCAAGGGACTCTTCTTTCCGTTGATGTTTTCTTTGGAAAAACTTGTTAGCGCAGTCCCTTCAAGGCTAAAATATGGAACTCACATATAATCTTTCGCCTAATTCTACTAATATCTAATAAGTAAAATGTGAAATGTACTGCAAGAGAATCGATCGGCGGAAACAGAGCTGGGCGAGTCAAGTCATTATTGACTGTGTTTGACTTGACTGAGCAACTTTTTGGTGACTCGAAGACTTGACTTATGACTGGGCATGACTTGACTTGACTTGTAAATTGCTGGAAAATGCAAGTCAAGTCAGGTGCATTTCGGCAACGACCATGTATATTAGATCCATAAAGCATAGCGTTCTTTTTTGTTCGAGTACGAAATTGTTCACTTTTTGCCGTCAATACCTTAGAAAATTTTCTACTAGATAATTGCTCATTTTTCATGATGGTAAGTATGAATAGTTACTATATGTAATAAAAAATAAAGAATCGGACAACATCATTAGCAGTTATATTTATCTAATGATGCGAGTTTAAGGTGATTCATACACAGCGTTCCGAATGGCAAGTGTACATCCATTGTTTGTACACTCTGAGTCAGCGTTCCATTCGGAATGCTGTTCATACATAATCCATTGTATTGAATCAGTTAAATTTATTATAACATTTGTTAAAACTAAATATGTATGAACCAATTTCTCATGATGATATTGATCTTTCAAACAATTCTCCTGATGTCTGTGTATTATCTCCTGTTTCAGTCATCAAATATGAATCGACATGTAAAAATTCAACATAAAGCAGCATATCACGAATGGACCAATCAATTAGATCAACTTAGTAATAAAAGTCAAAAAAGAATGTCTGATGTATTTATGAAAACTAATGAAACAAAAAGAAAGTCATAAAATTCGAAATCGTTTTATAATAATAATCATCCACGACAAATTCAATTATCTCAATCTATTCTAGAAAATCTAATCGTTGATCTTGGTTTACCATTATCTATAGTTGAACGTGATGCATTTATCAAATTCATGAACGTAATAGACCCAACATTTGCTATGACTAGTAGAAGAACACTTAGTCGTACAATAATTCCACGTTTATATACTGCAACGAATGATGAATTAAAGAAATGTTGTAATCAATCTAATTTTATATCATTAACTCTTGACATATGGACCGATCGTCGATTACGCGCTTTCTTTGCAATGACAGGTATGATTACTATATTTTTCAAATCTTATAATATGCAGTGATGTCATGGATTCAATAATTAATTATCTCTTTTCTTTAAGGACATGCTTTTGTTGATAATACATTAAAATCGTATGTATTATGCTTTCTTCCTTTACATGGTAGTCATACGGCCAATTTCCTGTTATAAACTTATGAAAATGCTATTCGTATGTTTGATATACAAACTAAATTAGTTCGATTGGTTACAGATAATGCTGCGAATAATATTAAAGCATTCGAAAATTTAATCATACCAGATTTTGAACATTATTTTAATATCGAAGATGATGATAATGATGAAATAGAAAGTGACATTGATTTAGATGGTTTTAGTGATGACGATGATGATGATGCTAAAGAAGAGTCATATAACCAAGTTATACATGGCAATGCAATAAATATAATTGAACCAATTAAACATAGTTTTGATAATATTGCTGCTAATAGTGAATCATTACGTATACCACGTTCTGCTCACACTATTCAATTGGTAATCAATGATGGCTTAAAGCAGATTTCATCGATTCAGTCTGCTTTAGTAAAAGTATCAAAAATAGCAAAATTATCACATACGAGTACTATTTTTGCAGAGAAACTGGAACATATCGGTAGATCAATACCTAAAGCTAATAAAACACGTTGGAATAGACAATTTACCCATGTAAAAATTTTAAACTCCAAAACGCGTTCTCATACGCGTCTTAAATGCGTTTGAAACGCTATGCAGGATGCATCCCGACGCATCCAAAATGAAACATCTGATGCGTCCAAACGCACCTGCTAGACGCATCTGGACGCGTTTTTCAGATGCGTCTAGATGCATCGGATGTTTCACTCCATTCGTAAATGCATCTAAATGCATCCGAGAGACAGCCGCATTTGAACGCGTACCATATTGGAATCTAACCTTAGCCGCGTTCAGATGCACGCCATGTTTCGATGCGTTCCGATGCATCTAAAATCGTTGTGAAACATCTGATGCGTTCGAACGCGCACACAGACTAAACACACCTAAACGCGGTCTAAAATAAAACGCAGTTTAACGCGGCTTAAATCCAAACGCAGTTGAACGCGGCTAAAAGCCAAACGCGTGTAAACGCGTTTCAAAGGTTTAGGAAACAAAAACAACTTGCTCTCGCAGATTCGCGCTGCGGCACCATCATCTCCACATGAGGACGGTCAGCTCTTTCCTAGAGGCATTGTACAGAACAAGTGATTTAACTTACGTGAAATTTGACGAGTGCGATGATCCAGGCTAGAACATAGAAACTATGTATTCGAAAACAAGTTACTTACGATTGAACCATATGGCTCGATATGATTCTAAATTAAAATGTATATCTTGACGAATTTTTTTCCTTACACGTAACGAACTTCATTAGCTCAATAATGCCAAGACTGTATGTATGAGTATTTTTTCATCGAGGGTGAAAAAAAATTTCAAGTATCTTTTTATAAAAATTACATCATCTCGTTTTTATCAGCAATGTTTTATTTCGCTGACTAATGATTAAATTGCATGCAACGTAAATAAAATTAATTTTTATTTTTGATTTCATATTCATATATAAACAAAATTATTTTCACTGGAATTTTAAAAAAAATTCGAAGTGCAGATTCACAATGAAATGCTAAAAAGTTTTCAAATTATATCAATAATAATGGTCATTTTCATCACGGTTTATGTCCAATCTTGTTACAGAATTTCGAATGGGGTTTTTTATTGAAACTCATTAATTTCGTTTTCATCGGCAGTTTTTTTAGCTAATTATTTCAAATTCTTCAACATTAATAAAATTGTGTGCTTTTTTATTTTAGATATCATGTTTATCTATAAACAAAAGCATTGTCATTTCCGATGAAAATAAAATTTGAACATCAAACTGATTTATAATGAAATGTTATAATGTTGCCAAATTGTATCAGCAATAATAATAAAATCATCATGATGATTAATGTTCAATCTTGTTAGAGAATTTTGGATGTTTGTTTTTCTATTAAATCTGATTTGTTCTTTTTTATTGGCAATTGTTTCAGCTAACTAATTTCAATTCTTGAACAAAAATGAAATTTATTTTCAGTTCTTGATTTCATTTTGATTTATAAACAAAAATATTTCTATTAGAATTGAAAATAAAATCTGAATATTACACGGATATATAATTATAATGAAATGTTATAATATTGTCAAATAGTATCAACAAAAATAATAATCATCATCACGGATAATATTAGATCTTATTATTAAAGAATTTCAGATTTTTTTTCTATTGAAATCGATTCATATTATTGCCATAAAAAATCTTTTCTGCTATTTGACTTAACTAATTTAAATCCTTGAACAAAACTAGAATTTTTTTTCATTGTTGATTCTATGTGCACGTATAAGTAAAAATATCTATATTATCATTGAACTGAAATATTAAGCGAGTTCAAATCATATTAACAAGACAGATTATCGTCTTAAACTCATCTGTTGTTTCGAAAGAGAAAACAATTGAAAGGATCTATTGTTGGGAACTAGTTGGCAATATTTATAGGCTTTTTTATTTGTAAAGTCACATAACGTTCAAACGTTGTTTTTTTTTAAATTTTCTTTTCTATTTAAAACGACAAGAGATAAGAAGCTTTATGCTTGTTTCGTTATTGCTTCGGCACACGTGCACATAGCGATGATCTGTCTGTTATATTTTTTATTTAATTTGTTTTCGCCAATCGAATTAAATCATAACAATTCAGCTGAGCGAATGACGAAAGAGAAACCAGTCGATTTGTTTTCTTTTCTGATCATTTGCTTAGTCTTTTAAACGTCTATCGATGTTTGAATTATCTTAATTTCATTAAAATTTCTAGATAATGCAACGTTACCAATCGAAGGGAAGTGTTACGTCAGTAACATCGTCATCAAAACGAATTTCTCCAACACACATGATTATTCAACGTGAAGATAATAATCAAATGTTATTGCTACCAGTAACACATTTGATTAATGCATCTGTTACGAAAATAAAAGTAAACAATACAGCAACATTTAAGACTGATTTAAAGAGTAGGAAACAAGAACGTGGTCGAGTCATACAACTTGGTATGCTTTTCATCAGAAGAAAACAGCGACATAATATTGTTTTTTCTCTAGGAAGTGAAGATGTTTGTATTGAACAACTTGAAGTGTTTGAAATGGTGGCCAACATTGCTGCAGAAGAAGCTGCTGGTAATGGTATTCATAAAGCAAAAAACAAAGAAGAAAAAAAGAAACATAGCAGTAAGTCTTAAAATAATTGTTACATATGAAATATCGATTGCTTGTTGTATCATTAAATTATAGAAACAACTAAGACATATTTTAAGATTAAGCTTGTAAGATAAAGACAGGCTTATTGCATAAAAAAACATATTTTGAAAGTGATGCTTCAATATAAACGATATTTTCCAGAGAGACATAGTCATAAGAAATTAACACATACTATTGATATTTCTTGAGAAATAGCAAATAAATATGTATGCAATAATTTAGCATAGATTAAATATACATGTACAATGCTAACTGATACTATTTCTATACTAACTGAATCATTATTTTTTGAAAACTAAAACCTGCATAACATATTTCAGCTACTTACGTTAGTAAAGTCCCTAACTTGTCCTATAAACCTCTTCGAGTTTTCATCATTTCGAAAAATGATGCATATTTTTCTTTCAATTTATTTTTAATAATTGAAGACTAAAATTTATTTTTATATGTAGCAATGAAACCAATCACGTCATTTGATATTCGTGAAGATACTAATATTGTTGTTAGTTCACATAAAAAAACAACAGATATTTTAAAACAAAAAGGAATTACAAACGAAAAACAATTGGAAAGCGACGAAGAAAGTAAATAGACCTAAGTATTTATGAATGATTTAGTTAATTTTATCATGTTATAGTTAATGAGGAGGATACTAATGAAAATGATGAAATAGACATACAATCAATTGATTCAATTGATAATTGTTTGTCAACAAGCGATTCCAATCAAGATTCACAAAAGACAAATAAAAAAAAACAATGAACGATGTATCTACGAATGGTAACTATATGTTTCATCTAATATTGTAAGACATTCTTTTTTTGTTTCAGGATCAGGAACAAGAAATGAATCTCAACAAGATCCTCGACAAAATTCGACGAGAATCATCAATTCTAAAACCCAAAATAGCAATAAAAATGTAGAAAAACATTCTACAATGATCGAATGTTTAGATTCTCGTTAGTATCTTCTTCTACTGTGCATAACCCTATTAATTATTGCATGCGATTTTAGAACAAGGACATGCACCAGATACGAGCTATCTCGATGTAATGCCTCGTTTAGAATTCTTATCTAAACGCTGCAATCAATTAACAAAAGAAAATGCTGATTTGCAAGAAGATTGTGATCGATTAACGACAGAAAATCAGAAGCTAAAGAGAACTATGATGCGTAAGTTCGTTGAAAAGTTTACCATTTACGTGATCCAATAGAATCATTTAGAATCAAAATTGATAAATAAGTTCTCAGAGATTCATGCTGAAATAGTTTTTATTCAATTTATTCAAACAGATTCAACATTTATACCCCTATTAGTAACTTTGTTCTTAAGCTATTCGCAATCTTTATCTAGGTTTCTAATGAAAATGAAAATATTTTAAAATTTTAGCTATGCCTGATGCTAGTGGTCGTCAATGGTTTATTAATATGGGAAAATATTTTTCACAGAAATCATCTAATTGTGATGTAGTAAAATATGCAACGGCATTGAAAATTAATGATCCTAACGATCTTCTTGCATGTGTACAAGCAACGACTTCTAATACAGCTCGACAAGTTATTCGTCTTCTATATTCACCAGAACAATTACTTAGTATGACAGGACCGGAAGTGCCTGATTTTCAACGAAAATTAATTCGACGTAATGATATTAGTTCTTTAAAACTAAAAATGTTAACTATTATTTTTTTTCTTCGATAGAATTTGCTGAATCTCAACTGGGCCCCATTTTAGATCATAACTTCAATGAGGCAATCAATGGTGTATTTCGATCAGAAAAAAGTGAATTCAAGAAGAAGCTAGGAGAAGGCCAATCGACTCATGCTCTTAGTACTCAAAAGTCAAAGGCAAAAACTCAAAAGGTCGATAATCATCAGACAAATTTAAAGAAAATCCTAAATAAAAATCAAACTTTACAACCAACTACAATCAATAGTAATAAAGAAAACTTACCTGAACTGTCTTGAGGAAAATAAATAGTCATAGTCTATGCAAATGTTCTTTATGTGTTTTTCGTTTGTGTGTACGTTGATATTGATAATAAAGAGGAGCAATCGTATTAACAGCATCAAGACATCTTATGAATTCATATGTTTCAGATGTTGTCACGAGTTACGCTATGGCGACGTAGAAAGCGTATTAAAGAAATTCGTAGTCAAATGATAGCAAATAAATGTTCATTTTTAGATGAAGAGTGTGTATCTATTTCTTCGTTTCTTTGTTCACTTTGTTCACTTGACATTATAGATCTCTTGAACTGGCATCATCGTCAATCTCAAATAGTATTAGCGCGAAGGGTTTTCCTGATAATGAAGCACGACCAATCAATGACTGTGAATATCAATTCAGCCATACTATATCTGATCCAGATTCTAATATATCAAAGACAACTGATGAAGCAGAGTGTGTACCAGATTTTAATGAAGATCAAATGTGGATTGACGATAATGTGAAAGAGAGTGATCCATGGATGAATTTAACGATTGAGCCCGTGTTTCAATATCCTGTTATGGAGAATCAAGAATTGTTTGTTAATATGACTCGGTATTTCTAAATGGAATATTACAATTTCTTTTTCACTTTCTTATCAATTTTTTTCTTTTATATATAGGGATCCAGTGGAAAAGGAAATTGCAGCAGCACTTGTTCTATTAAAAGTAAGCATGTATCTATTGAAGCATTATTTTAACGTGAGTTATTTACCAATGATAAATATTGTGATGATTATTTCAGAAATTCTATAGACATTGGAATAAGTGAGAATAGGCATATATAAAATTATTGATTTTCACTTGTTCTGAGTCGCTTGCTTCAATTAGTTGCATCTCACTGAAGTCTAAATTTCGTCTAAGATTGATAAATTAGAAATCCGTAAAATAACTAGATTGATTGAACAACGAATAATCCAAGACGTTTATTATTGTTGTTAAAATTATGATAAAGCATTACCATTCGTACAGAAAAATATTTATTAGGGCTTTACATAATTTGACGAAGTAAGATAATAGCGAATACTTTTATTACGCTATTTCTAATTGTTTTTTAAATATTTTTTATTCCTCACTTAAAACTCTAGATAAATCAGAAGCTATTGACCTTCATTGATATTCAACATTTATAAAATACACATATGTAAATTTATTCACTTTAATCGAAATCATTTTTACTTTTAAAATAGGTACGTCATCGAATATCAACTAAAGGCATGGACGATATATGCAAACTCCTGAAAATTTTAAAAACACCAAATGCTCCACTAAACTTTTCTCGAATTAAACGACTGTTTTTTAGAAATTCCTCACCAGCACTTTCATCATCGATAAGTTTTATATGTTCGGCTTGCTGTGATGCATCAACGTCATCAAATCATTGTAACAACATCAATTGTTCACAGCATGCTTCATACCAAACTCCTCCACTACAATATTTTAAATTATCTATACTGCAACAACTGAGAGAAATTCTTGCTTGCGAGCAAGATTTAAATTTTGAACATCAAAAACAGCCATCGTTGAATTCCGATTTACTCAACGATATTTATGATGGAGATAAGTATCAACACATTATTAAAAATGAGATAGGCAATAGATTTTTAACTCTGGTTATGAATGCTGATGGTGTTCAAGTATCGAAAGATGCTAGTTTATCTCTTTGGATTATAACGTTTGCAATAAATGAAATAAAACGAAGTGAACGGTTTAAATTGAAAAATATAATAATAGGTGGTATTGTTTCATGCCCATCGAAACCAACTCGTAATCATATGCGAAAAATTTTTGCACCAATTATTCAAGAACTTCTAATACTCGAAAGAGGAGAAACCTTTGAAGTTAAAAGTTTAAACGAAAATCCATTTATTTGTCTTAAAACATACTTGATTGCGTGTTGTGCTGACAAACCAGCTCAAAGCTTGGTGCAAAGCATAAGCGAACCAATCGGAGCATACGGTTGCGGAAGATGCGAAATAGAAGGTAAGACTTCTTGATTGCAATTTACTTAAATTTCTCAAAGATTTAAATCATTCCAAAATTTTAGGAATAACTGTGCCCATCAAGCCAAATTCGAAGAAAAAAATTCGTGTTTTTCCTCTTGTTACTGCTCACCAACAACAACCTCGTTTACGAACCAATGAAACATATGATGAATTTATGAAGATTTATGCACAAGAACGTTTCAAGGACACCAATGAAATGCGTGATCGATTACGAGGTCATATAGGTCCATGCTCACTTCGTGATCTTACTTATTTCGACGTTGGTACAAGTTTTTTATCTGATTCGTTACATAACGTTTATCATGGAGTAATGGTATGTTACGATGTTTGAAAATTTCCAGATATAAGTATAAGAAAAATTAAGAAGTTGTTATTTTAGAGCTCTGTTTTTACAACAGTATTTTACTTTTTCACATTTGCTTTGTTGTTTAAAGACGCTCGAGAATAATACGATTAGATAGTGTATTTTGTTCAATGCTACTAATACTGTGACGACAATATAGTTCCAACGAATTTCTTCACAGAAATTTATTATCACGTAGTTTATGTTGAAACGAATTGAATTGATTCACTCACGTTCCTAAGCATCAATAAATAAAATAAATTGTCCACTTAGTTCCATATGCATAACCATAAAGTATTTGATTCCTCTGTTGCATAAAGAAAAGTGAAAAATTATTTTCTCATGTATTAATCTGTTCAAGAAAAAAAACTTGTCTACTAATTTGCTTCTATTTTTTATTCATTTTAGAAACGCTTATTTCGTCTTTGGTTTGATAAAAAATATCGAACACAACCTTGGAGTATTCGTTCAAAGTTAAAGGTGATTAGTCATTTTCTTACTGAAGTAAAATATCCATCCACATCAACACGTATTCCTCGACACATAGAAAAATACGAAAAATATAAAGCCAATGAAGAAAGAAGTGTTTTATTGCTTGGATTTTCAGCTTTTTGTTCTGCTTTGCCACTTAAATATGCAAGACATTTTTTATTGCTTGTTGTGGCAATGCATATAGCTGAATCTCGATCTATTCAACGTGAACAAATAAAAGATATCAGTCTTATGCTTAATCGGTTCTTACAGTTATTTCCAATTCTTTATTCACCACGACAAAATTCTCAAGCTGTGCACAGTTTGCATCATATTGCCACAAGTGTATTAGAATATGGTGCATTAAGCAATTACTCCACATTCAATTTCGAAAATATTTTAGGTGAAATAAATTAAGAAATAATAGAAAGTCATTAATAAACTTGTGTAAATGTTTTTTTTTATAAAATTAGGTCTAATAACTTCAACTGTGCATTCCACACGTCGACACTCATGTGAAATTCAAAATAATCTAAGATTACTTCGCTTGGCATCCATTGAACTCGACCATGCTTCATTCAATCGCAATTTAAAACAATTTATCAATGCTTGTCAGTCATCGAAACGTTCGGTTGTTTTGATCACAATGAATGAAAGTCAAACAGTTCATTTTCGACGAGAAGATACAAATAAAGTCATCCTTATGGAACTACAACATCTGCTGCGTCAACATGAAATCAAGTTGTTCAATATTTGCTACATTCTTACAAACCGCTTTACTGTAATGGACTATCGTTCTTCTGGTCAAAAAAATGATAGCTGCTTATTATTTTTACAGGCCGGTAAACCTTGCATTGGATTCATACAAAATATTATTCAAGTCCATCGTACTGAATTGATTTTACGAGTGTGTAAAGTGAAAATACGAGATCAACTATGCCTTAATTTCGACAACAATAGATTATCATGTCCCAATATATTTTATGGTAGTATCGATATGCAAGACAATATTATTTTTATCAAAGCAAATGCAATCCTAGAAAAGATTGTACATGTATATCATAAACAGTTAAAATGTTATATTTTCTGTCGTATTCCTAATCTCTTGGAGTGTTCTTAAATGTAATTGTGCTTATGTATCTAATAAAATAAATTTAATCATGGTAGCAACATTCATGTTACAATACGTCATGCATTCATTTAGTCATATGTTATATGGGACATATCCGTCAAGTTTTATATCATATCATTTTTATGCGATATTTTCATTCATAGATTTCCAATAATTATAATTAAATGTCGCTTCATCTGTAACTTTCACTCAACTATAAGCGATTCGTTCAAGTAAATTGAAGTAGATAGCTAACGAAAGGTTTACTTGTTTATAACCATAACTGTCGAAAAATACTCTATAAAGAAAAAGTTGTAGAATATAAAGTAATGAAAACAATTTAATAGCATCATCCTAATGTGAAAAAAATCAATAGAATACCAATGTTCATCAAGAACAAATAAGCATTGATTGACAAGACTTTATATTAAAATGTAATGCATAACCTAAATAAAGAAAAATCTTCTAATTCGAGTCATACCTAAGAAAAATACATGTTTTTCGTGTATAAGATAAAAGAGAAAAGGATATTTTACAGTAGCTATTATCAATAGTGCGTAAATCATGTTTCATAAAACAAGATATTATTAAATATAATTTGAACTATTATTCGGTGCATCGTTTATGGTGATAATATTAAGGATTCCTAATACGTATATATAGACAGTAGGGTATACAGTTAGCCCCGTACCAACTATGAAATAAAGAATACATGAGAACACTTTTATCGTTGTATAGTTGTCGAAAGAAATTTCAAACAGAATTGTTTTCTGAAAACGCATCTGAACGAAAAATGAATTCAAAACGCATTTAAACGCATCCCAACAAGCAAAAACACCACTAAACGCAGTCATTCAAAACGTTTCACCCGAAGTTTATAGTCGTAACGCGTTGAGCTGCGTTTCTTAAAAGGGAGTTCAAACGCAGTACCATTTAAGCTGCGTCTAGATGCATCCATTAGATCAGACGCATCGGTAGGCATTTGTTTGATGCGTCTGACTGCATCTAAGTGAAAAAAAGTATAGACGCGTCACTCTTTCAGCTGCGTTTAGATGCTTTCAGTATTTCCAACGCATCTGGATGCGTCTTCATAACGCGTTCAGATGCATCTCAAAAGCATCTGCAACCTGAAACGCACTCAGACGCAATTGCAAACGCATCCAGATGCATCCAGTGTGCGTTTTAGTTTTACATGGGTAGCACTGTTGCAAAAGTTTTAAATATACCACCATCAGAACTGAATGAAATTCTAGTTTTTGTTAAATATAAAGATTTTTGTCTATTATAGCTAAAGATTATCAAATGTTCCATGAATTTTTATCGTTATTAACATTATTTGTTGAAGCAACAACTTTAACACAATCAGAAAATACACCATCAATATAATTTACTGCACCAACTGTATTAACAATTTATCATGATTTATTATATGAACAGTCGAATATCTTATATACATTATCATTAGGTAGCTCATTATTAACTTCATTGATTTCTCGATTTGGTGGTTTATTGGAAGAATTAGATGTAATTATTGATAAATCAATTCCACAAAAGAGTTCATCGGAACTTTATCGTGATCAAATATTCATTTATTCACCGTTTCTCGATGGAAAATGTAAGCTACATTGGATCGTGGAATCATCATTACCATTAGAAATAAAAAATGTTCTTTGTGAAAACATAAAAAACTTGATTTGTGATCATTGTATAGTGTTTCAGCATAACAATTCTTCAACAACAACACCTAGATTAAATGCTACTGATGATGATCAATCATCAAAAACAGCAACAGCAAAAATAACACCAAAACGAAAAAGTCTTTTTTCAAATATTGAACGTAAAAACATTAAAAAACAAAAACTCGATAATCTTGCATTTATTAAGGATGAAATTAATATTTATCTGAATGGTGATGAAAGCGATTTGAATAGATTTATTCTAATTGATCAATCAATTAAATACAAAGCATTGAACTACTTGGCAAAGAAGGTATTCACAGTTCCTGCAACATCATCACCTGTTGAAAGAGTTTTCTCTCAAAGTGGCTTTATATTTCGACAACATAGATAAAAAAAAATGTCAAGAAAGACATTACAAATGCTAACAATGTTAAAATGTAATCAAGGGCTAATGTAAAAATCTTTTTCACTAAATTGATGTAGAATTAAATTGAAAATTTGTAAAGCACTGTCAACTGAACGACTTGACTTGTCTAAAGAATGATGACTCGAGACTCGACTGAGACTTGACTTGGGTAGAGCTGTGACTTGACTCGACTTGCGTTGAAAATGACTTCTCTGAACCCATGACTTGACTTGACTCATGCATAATCTACAAATGAATTGACTTGACTTGGGTAAAAAAACCTGACTCGCCCATATTTGGGCAGAAAAAATGTCTTTTTTAGTTTGTGCATGCTTTCTAATGTCTGTACTGCAGGCTGGTTGCCTGAAATTTGGAGTGGTGTCTGTAATTGGGAGCCTCAAAAATCTCGTTTTTAAACTTACGCTTATCATTTTCTTCGAAAATACATGTGAGTTCGACAAAAAATTGTTAGGCCAACCATTAAGAGATAGAGCCGTTAAACAACACAAAATAGCATGTGAGTGCATAGAAGTTTCAAAAGATGGTCCACAGAAAAGTAGAGCTTCATTGTAATCTTAAAAATCTAGACCGCTATATTGCGCATTTGGAAACCACGAGACAATATGAGAAACTATTAAATCGAAAATTCTAACTCATTCTACCTTATCTATAAAAAATATGCAGCAGTGTCCTTATTCCAAAATTCTAATGATTCTAAAGTTCTAATAATTCTAAAATTCTGATTATTCTAATAATTCTAAGATGCCGATAGTTCCAAAACTTCGATGATACAAGAACCGTGAAAGATATAGAATCATTAAGTGTAAAGGCTGATTATAAAAATGTTGAATTCGGAATTCTATGAAAATTCTAGAATCTTGGAATAATGACAGGGCTCATTACAAATCGATTAATAATTTCAATTTCTCTTTAGAATAATCCGATTTTAATCTGAAAATTTCACACGGAATAAGTAACAAGATCAAGTAATACTTAAGTCATGGCCAAAAATAATCAAAATAATCAATCGATTTTAATTTTAATTTTGATTTTGTTGCAAAAAAATCCAATTGAAATCAATGAATATTTTTCACTGGGCACCTACACGCACTCTGTTGCATTGTCTGCATGGTGTTGTGATTCTACTTGCGAGCGATTTTCCGCGCTGTTGAAATAAGGCGCGTTGACAAAATATTTTTCTTTCCTCATTCTGATGCACCGTCTGAATGACGATGCAGTTAAGTTTGTTTGTCGATATCTGCGCTG